GCGCTGGGTGCGGGGCCGAGCTCCACCTGACCCTGCAGCCCGGGCTGCCTGGCCGCCCTGCCTGCAGGGCCGAGCCCCCTGTGCGGGGTGGGCGGCAGGGTCGGAGCCCGCCTCGCGAGGCCGCAGGCAAGCACAAGTTGCTGCTTTCCACCCGGAGGCCGAGCTGCAGCTGCCTCCCCCACCGGCCTGGCAGCCGGTCCTGGCGAGCACCGTCCAGGGACTGGGTGGATGCAGGGCCGAATGGCGCAGGCCGCTGGCTGCGCGCTCCTGGCTGCACACGCCCCGCGCTAGGCCATGGAAAATCCCTGCCTGCCCAGCCCGGCCCTGGCAGCCGAGCGAGGGGACGTCACGCTGGGGCTGGCACCTGGGAGCTCGCTGAGCCTGGGGCCCCGACAACAGGACTCCGGGGCAGCAACGCTGCACGGCCCCGCGATGGGGACGGCGGCTTGGCTTAGCCCCGGGCCCGCTCCCACCTGCCGGGACAACTCAGCCGGGTCCGGGGAGCTCCCTACACGGGGGCAGAGGCCACGCGCATGGCTTGCAGACGGCCCTACTGCCTGCGATGCCCGGCCCGGCCCCGCAACGCGGGAGCACCCCCCAGCCTAAATGAGAAACATGTTGGCTGGAGGGGCTGTAATGGGTTGCAGAGCCCACCCCATGCTGGGCCCTGAGGGAGTGCCTGGCCTGCAGCCAGGCCCTGCTCCCCCACCCACGCGGTGGGGACCGGGCAGCAGCCGGGGCTAATTAGCGGGGGCGGTCCCAGCTAACCTTGAGCAGCCGTGGCCATGGCAACCAGGTTCTGCAAAGGGCAGGGAGGCGCCTCGTGAGCCTGTTTCCCCAGCAGACAGGGCTGGTGGGGCCCCGCGCCCCCAAGAGGGGCTTCGGCTATAGGGCCGTCCCCCCCCCGGCTGCCAGCACCACCCCGGGTGCCAGCCCCTCCAGGGCGTGCGCGGCGCCTCACCCCCAGCCCCACTGGGACCAGATCCCGGAGCATCCCTGGGGGTGCCGCAGTCCCTGCCAGGCTGCAGCTCGCGTGCAGCCTTGGTCCGACCTGCACTTGCCCCAGCTCTGGGGCAAACCCCTGCCGTGGCCTGCTGAGCCCCTGGGGTGGCTGGTGGCAGCTCTGGGCACAGAGCAGCCTGGCACACAGCCTGCAGCCCAAGCCCAGGTCCAGCAGCTGCTCTCTCCGGCTGGGACCACGTGGCAACTGTCCCCATAGCCCCGTAGGCCCCGGCGGGGGAGACCCGGGTGCTTGGAAGAAGGGTTTCGTGCCCCACGATGCAGAGCAGCACCCTGGCTGTTGCAGCCATGCTGGGAGCACCCCACAGCTCGTGCCGCAGCTGCTACTCCCACAGCCGGCGAGCAGGTCGGAGCGGCCCCGCGCCCCGAGTCACCACTTCTCCCCCCACCTGCTGCTATATTTGTCGTGTTGTCGCTGGAGAGGAATTCTGACGCTACACGGACGCCGCCGCGGTGGGGCACTGCTCTGGCCGGCGCCCAGCTCCCCTCCGCCGTGCCAGGTGCAGCCTTGCCGAGGCCTGCTGTGGGGAGAGGCCGGCAGGTGCCAACTTTCCCGTGCTGCTGCTCAGCCTCTGGGAAGCAGAGCCACACCCTGGCCAGACTTGTGCTGGGGCGTCAATGGGAACAAAGCCTGGGGAGCCAGACCAGCGCTCCTAAGAGCGAAGGGGACCTGCCTGCATGGCCCCACGGCATCCTCCTTTGGCTTGGCCAGCTTGCAGCTGCCAGGGGAGAGGCCCTGGGATGAGCAGAGGGAAGGAGCCAGGTCTGAACACAGCTGGCGCGGGGCTCCCCCAAGTTAGGGCATGCACGGGACCGTGCCCTGGACACCAGCCCCAGGACACTGCTGGGGAAGAGTGAGGACAGGCACCCGACAGCTGCCGAGCCCTGGGGAAGCAGCAGCTCAGCCCTCGCCGTGCGGGAGCCCGTGCTCAGGGCCTGGTGCTTCTGCCAGGAGAACCTGCTCGCAGGGTTGGCAGTGCCCTGCAGAGGAGGGACCCGCAGCCCCCCCAGCCCGGGGAGCAGGAGGGCCTGGCGTGTATTTTTAGTGGCTTAGCACAGGCCTGAAGTATTTCTGCAGCCACTCCCTCACGTCCCCAGCTCCGCGTGTAACTATTCCGGTGCTGTCTCCCAGACGCAGGCACAGAAATTATGAGTCACGGCTGGGCCGGGGCCACGGTGCTGCCCGCGCCCTGCAAAACAAGGGCTCTGCAGGGAGCGCCTGCCTGGCGCAGCCTCAGCCCTGGAGGACCCAGGGCTGCATGTTCAGGCAGGGACTGCTGCGGAGAGGGGAGGAGACCGCAGGACACCGCCAGGGCGGGGAGAAGGGAGCCAGCTGTGGGGGGAGAACAGCAGCTGTGACAGCCCAGGGGAGGCCGTGGCAGGAGCCTGCTCTGGGGCAGGGGAGCTGCTGTGCACCCTCCCCGGGCCTACAGACTGCTACCACTTGCTGCCCTCAGCATCCCTGCCAGCCCTCCGCTGCCCTGGGCCCTTGCACGTACCCATCACATGGGCAGGGCTAGCACCAACCGCATGGGGAGCTGGCCTGGGCACAGCTCAGGAGCGCTGCAGCTAGACGTCGCATGCTGGAGCTGCAGCTGGCCCCGGAGGGCTGTGCCACTGCCAGAGGCAGGGCGTCCCTGCTGCGCTGGCATCAAACTGCTCCCATGGGAGAGAACGACTGTGTGTGATGGGGGGAAAACAGGACAGGACAGACCTGGAACTGGGTGCCCTGGGACACGCAGGTGCAACGAAGCCGTTAGCTGTGGGGTGAGGCTGTTCAGCTGCTGCCGGGCAGCCAAGGAGCGACAAGAGGGATCATCTCCTGCTCCACTGAACCTCCTGGCCCCGGACAACGGACTCCGTCCACCACCACCACCACAGTGGCAGGCAGGCGAGCACACGAGGCGGCTGTGCAGGGAAAGGCAGGCCCAAGACAGTGTGAGGGCAGCAGGCCCCAACTCTCCCAAGGAGCCCGACAGTGCTGGGGCAGGGCCAAGCTGAGGGAGGGGCATGGGCGTCTGCAGCCTTCCCGAGAGCCAGGGCAGCTGGGCTGGCCCCCATTCCCCCCCCCCCGCCCTCAACAGTGGCTGTTCCTCTGCCAGAGCAGCTGCAGCACATGAGGTTTCTCCTGGCTGGAGCCAGGGGCTTGGGCGGATGAAGGGGAAGAGACCAATGTACAGCCCAGCTTGTGCTTGGGTGATGCCCCTTAGTGACACTCGCTTTGAATTCCCGTCGTGGGGCAGGTGGGAGCCAGCACCCACTCCCCTGTGCTGCGAGGACCCTTGGCGAGACTTAAGTCCCCTGTGTGTCACTGCAAGCACCCAGCAAATGCACAGGCCAGGCTGACCAGAGGCAGGCAGGAGAGGCCACAGCCCCAGCACCGTCTCTGCGTGAGAGCAGCGCAGGCGTGAAGCTGCCCAGGCAGCCATGCCCAGCCCTGGTACGGGAGGGCGAGGCGGCGCTTGCTGCAGGTAAGCACCAGCGCACTGCACTCCTCACCGAGCACTGGGGCCACACCCAAGTGCTGTGCTTGACACCTGCTCTCGCTCGGGACAGGTGGCCAACACCACCGAAAGGAGGTGGCCTGACCTTGGTAGTACCAGATACTACCTTCCTGGCCAGCGCATCCAGCAGGAAAGCCGGGATCTCGGCAGCTGCAGAGGGGCTGGACTCCGTCATGCTGTTACTCTGTACGGGGCACCAGACAAGCAGCTTGGGATGCATCAGTTCTACTGCAGGGACTCCAGAGAGGCCTCAAAGACACCCCTCCCCCCCTTCAAAGAAGAGCCTGAAGATGAAGGATCTTAGCATGTCAGACCTTTCACAAAAGGAACATTTCCCGGCAAATCTGAACCTCAAGGAATCTAATCCAACCCCTAGCAGAGACACCCAGGTGTCCTCTCAAGAGTAGCACCTGTGTGGGGGGCAGGGGCTCATTCAGCTTCAATGCAGGCATGCCCCGAAGAGAGAAAGCACAGTTTACACATGAACATGCAGGCTTCTTGGTACCATATGCCAGGCTGCCCTGAGGTCCCATCACACACAGGGACTGATGTGCCAGTGTCAGAGAATGGGGGAAATCAACAGTGTCAGGGTTGTTTTCATCACACAAACCCCAAGTGGTTCCTCCCCAGCCTGTGGCCCAGCCACAGCAGAGACCTTCCTAGTTACAAAGGCATGGGAGCAGGTGAGAGTTAAAAAGTCTCTACAAAGGAAACTGCCTGGACTGCTCCTCAGCAGACACCGTATCGTCGTGTCCATGTTCCTAACAAACAAGCTGTAAGCTACAAATGCAAAAAGCAGCCCCCAGCCTGTCCAGTTACACACACAGAAACCCAGCCTGAGCCGCCTGGGAAGCATTTGCAAGCGTCTGAGAACAGCGCGAGGGACATTTGTTTATTAAAACTCAAGATCCCAAAGAATTAACCAGCCCTTGGCTCTTCTCTGGAGAGCCGTGGCCCATGCCTCTGTCGGCGGAAAGAGGAATGCAAATACTTCCAATTATGGAGTCACTGGCTAGAAAAAAAGAGAGAGGAAAAAAAAAGTACAAATGAACCTAGGTCTTCCAGCAGACTAGGGTGGAAGGGGCTCACATGATGTGCTGCGATTCAGGTGCCATTCAGCTGACTAACAGCAGGCTAAGGATCCAACACCTCTGAACCCTTGCAGCCCTGCGATGACAAGCCAGCCAGGCTCCCAGCACTGTCCCTGGGCAGGGTACAAGCAGCTGCTCACTGCTTTGCAGACTGCCTGCCTGGCTTCTTTTCCTGCTGCCCTCGGCCGCTGCCTGGAATCCCTCGGCCGCGGCCTCCGAACACACCTGGGGAAGAGGAAAGGCAGGGAGAGAATGACGCCAGTCAGCAGCAGTGGCCCCCAGCTCTGCAGACCCCTGCATGGCCCTGGAGGGCAGGCTCCCATTCCCCAGCCTCTTCTGCAAAGTCAGCAGAACCTCCCAAGCGCCTGCTTCCTAGCCACCCCCTCCCAACTCAAGGGGCTGGCGAAGGTTATTCCAAGGCTGCTACATCGACAGGAGCAGGGTGCTGTAGCCCTTACTAGCAAACTAAGCCATGGCCATAAGTGCTAGGGGCTGCGTCTGTAGAAGGCAACAAGCGACCAAGAGAACCAACGCCCCAGCGAGACCAGGAGGCTCCCTCTCAAAGTGCCCCATGAGGAATGGAGCAACCCAAGGGACACAGGACTAAGCCGCTGTCTAGGCCAAGCTGAAGAAGATACAGGACAGACCGCTGCCTGGCTATGCCTGGCTTCTGCACCTGTCTGCACTGGGGACAAGGGGCAGGTGACTGGACACTGCGATGGGGTCCTCAGCCACAGAGACAGCCAGTCAGCCCTGACCCAGCTGTGCCCAGAGCTGCTCCACCGTGACCCAAACTAAGCTGGCTTAGTGTCAAACTGGGCACACCGCCAGAGCCCTCTTCAGGGTTACTGGGGTGTGCCAGCAATGTGGGTACTCTGGGATTCACTCTGCCTACCCCTGCTGCAGGGATACCAGGCCTAGGGGGTGGGAGCCCAAGACAGGCCAGGTTGCCCATCTTCTACCTGGGGCCTCGCCAGGCAGTTACCACATGCTGCTTGTGCTCAGGGCCTCAAGTGAGGTGCTAAGTCCTCTCCAAGAAGCTGACACTGGACAATGGTGCTCCTTTCCTCCCCCTGGCCAACAGGGCAGGAGACCAAGGATCACCCATGTCGAGAACAATAATGTTTTCGACTGTACCCGCAACAACAGCCTGGCATCTCCCTCCTACCATCTTAGTGAGGCGGCCTTCCCTCTTAATGCTTCTGTGACAGCAGCCAAGCTGTTTAGCTAATTAGCAAATGCTAAAGCTTCTCTTTCAAATATTCCATAAGCTAATTAAAGTTACACAAAGCATCAGGGAGCTCCTCCTCCGACGGAGAAGTCAACTTCACTCCCCACAAGGTAGATATTTCCACAGCACAGGGCATGAGAGGAACTGCTTCATGCAACGTGTTTACCCAAACAGCCGGGAGCAGCTTTGCCAAGTGCTTTGGCCACCAGCGCAGGAGGGAGGAAAGAAAAAAGGCGCCTTCACGTTCTAAAGGTCACTTCTGCCTCTCGAGAGCTCGGAGGGAGCAGCTGCAGCCTGAGTTCTGCTCCACCAGATGCTGCCTGAAGCTCCTGCAAAACGGAGCCCCCTTGGCAAGCCCCAAGCTCAAGCCATCTGACTGCACGCAGCCTCCTACCCGCCCCTGCACCAGCAGCCAGACATGAGGCTGC